ACTGCCATGCCCACGTGAGGAGTGTCATGCCCATGTGAGGAGTGTCATGTCCATGTGAGGACTGTCATGCCCATGTGAGGACTGTCATGCCCATGTGAGTTCTGTCATGCCCATGTGAGGACTGTCATGCCCATGTGAGGAGTGTCATGTCCATGTGAGGCCTCTCATGCCCATGTGAGGACTGTCATGCCCATGTGAGGACTCTCATGCCCATGTGAGGAGTGTCATGTCCATGTGAGGACTCTCATGCCCATGTGAGGACTGTCATGCACATGTGAGGACTCTCATGCCCATGTGAGGACTGTCATGCACATGTAAGGACTGTCATGCCCATGTGAGGACTGTCATGCACATGTAAGGACTGTCATGCTCACGTGAGGACTGTCATGCCCATGTGAGGACTGTCATGCCCATGTGAGGACTGTCATGCCCATGTGAGGACTGTCATGCTCACGTGAGGACTGTCATGCACATGTAAGGACTGTCATGACCATGTGAGGACTGTCATGCCCATGTGAGGACTGTCATGCACATGTAAGGACTGTCTTGCCCATGTGAGGACTGTCATGCCCATGTGAGGACTGTCATGCTCACGTGAGGACTGCCATGCCCACGTGAGGAGTGTCATGCCCATGTGAGGAGTGTCATGTCCATGTGAGGACTGTCATACCCATGTGAGGACTGTCATGCCCATGTGAGGACTGTCATGCCCATGTGAGGACTGTCATGCCCATGTGAGGACTTTCATGCCCATGTGAGGACTGTCATGCCCATGTGAGGACTGTCATGCTCATGTAAGGAGTGTCATGCCCATGTGAGGACTGTCATGCCCATGTGAGGAGTGTCATGCCCATGTGAGGACTGTCATGCCCATGTGAGGACTGTCATGCCCATGTGAGGACTGTCATGCACATGTGAGGACTGTCATGCCCATGTGAGGACTGTCATGCTCATGTGAGGACTGTCATGCCCATGTGAGGACTGTCACGCCCATGTGAGGACTGTCATGCTCATGTGAGGACTGTCATGCCCATGTGAGGACTGTCATGCCCATGTGAGGACTGTCATGTCCATGTGAGGACTGTCATGCTTACGTGAGGACTGTCATGCCCACGATAGGAGTGTCATGTCCATGTGAGGACTGTTATGCCCATGTGAGGACTGTCATGCCCATGTTAGGACTGTCATGCCCATGTGAGGACTGTCATGCTCATGTGAGGACTGTCATGCCCATGTGAGGACTGTCATGCTAATGTGAGGACTGTCATGCCCATGTGAGGACTGTCATGCCCACGTGAGGACTGTCATGCCCACGTGAGGACTGTCATGCCCATGTTAGGACTGTCATGCCCATGTGAGGACTGTCATGCCCATGTGAGGACTGTCATGCCCACGTGAGGACTGTCATGCCCATGTGAGGACTGTCATGCCCATGTGAGGACTGTCATGCCCATGTGAGGACTGTCATGCCCATGTGAGGACTGTCATGCCCATGTGAGGACTGTCATGCCCACGTGAGGACTGTCATGCCCATGTGAGGACTGTCAGCTCTAACGCTCTTAATATATTGAGGCCACAACATCTCTTCCAAGGCACCTGACAAAGAACAAATTAAAGGAACTATAAAAGAACACAATTTCTACACATAACCAGACCATTACCAATGACCATTACCAGACCAGATATCCTCACAATGTTGTACGAAACAATCGCCAGATAAAATGACAATAGATTAGAAATAGGCGTAGCACTATATATTAAACACATATGCAACAATCAACAATGCCCAAGGCAGAATATCCAGCTCACACCTCACACCTCACCTACTAAACATCGAGTTTACCTAGCTCAGCCACATCCTACTTTGGTATAAATTCTGTACCTTCAGCTAACTTGTATCTATTTACAAACACAAACATAAGAGAGAGAGATTGGTGTTAGAATCATTCATTTCCATTTAATTTTCATGAACACATGTCTAAAAAAAAATACTATCAATCTATATTACAGTAATGTCTTTCAAATTTCCTGTTTGTTTGTCTGTTTGTCTGTCCAAAGTTGGAGGCCAGATGCATGGGGCTAGCCTCTTCCAGATTTGCAGGGGTATGGGACGGACATAGGCTAGTCGAGGGAGGCCTAAGTTAAATACGTTAAGAAATACTAGTATTTCTAAACACTTCAACAATATGGTCAAGTGTAAAATATGGGGAATGATTAACTTAAAGATTTTATGAGACATAACAATATCATTTTTTAGACCCAAACAGTGGTTTTTAGTGTTTCCAAATGTATTTTCTGAAAGAGAAGCAGGGGGGTGATGGGGAGGGGGGGGGGAGTGGAACGTGGAGAACATGTGGGGGGGAGGGGAGGAGGACAGGCGCGAACGAGGGGACGATGGTTGGTACACGAGGGTTAAGGGGGGAAGAAGATGGATAGATTCACGAGTAGATGGATGGATAAATGGAAGGAGGGGTGGACAGACGGATGGATAGATAGATAGCTAGATGGATAGATAAATGGATAGGTAAAAGGCTGGGCGGATGGATAGATGGATGGACAGATTGGCAGATGGAAGAATAGATGAACAGATGAATAAATAGATGCATAGATTTTTTCATCTATCTTAGATGGGACGGGTAGATGGAAAGATGGATGGAAGGATAAATAGAGAGACGGATGGATAGATAGAGGGACAGATGGGAGACAGATACAGACCCGGGCAATACCGCCCCCCCCCCTCACAACATAAATATTACTAACCCTCATATCGTGAATAACAACATTTCATTCACTTGGACCATCGGAGCCTTCAACTGATGACCTAACAAGGAGCAGCCTGCACCTCTACCTACTGAGCCACCAGCACCCACAATAATGAAGAATTCCAGAGATATTTACCTGCTCTCCAACTGGAACTTTAGGCCTTCCTGAGGTGCCATTATGGTGCAATTCATTCACCTGCCCAAGTGGCACCCCAGTGAAGGCCTAATATTGTTGGCCAGCAGTTAGCTGTCTCTGGAATCCATCCTATTTGTGTGTGCTGGTGGCCTAGTGGGTAGAGCTGCTTGTGTGGTCTGCAGTTCAAGACTCCGATGGTCCAAAAAATATATATATATATATATATATATATATATATATATATATATATATATATATATATATATATATATATATATATATATTTATATATATATATATATATATATTGGTGTATACTGGCAGCAGGTTTTCTTTCAAACATGTTTCATTGAATATGACCGCATATTCTGTATTTATTATTTTCTGGTTTAGGGCTTCTATCCCTCTAACTATTTTCTTAGCATCAGGGCTTAATTGAAATAGGAGTTCTCCAAAACTCATTTTCGTACTTTTAAGGTGAAGAAAAGAAGTGATTTACTATAGAGTGTATTACACTTATTTGTATAATTTGCACGACGTTTCGAACCTCCATGGTTCATTCTCAAGTGAACAGATCTTACAATACTAGTTGATTTTATACCCGCATTAGGTCAGGTGATAATACAATGAAGGTGAAAACATGGGGGGATACATAAGGGATAAACATAGGGGCTGCAGAAGGCTTATTGGCCCATACGAGGCATCTCCTATCTAAACACAAAGATTAATCCAGTGTAATTGGCCTGTTATGTTGGACATTGTCTTCTGTGTTGGCATCGATATGTTCTTGTCTTGTCCTTACTCTCATGGTGGGTAGAGTAAATAGTTCCGTGATTTGGGTGTTCATGGTAGGTCGCTCTATTCTTATGTATAGATCTTATGTAATCTATTTGAAGATTACAAATTCTTGAGGCAATTCACATAAGAATAGAGCGACCTACCATGAACACCCAAATCACGGAACTATTTACTCTACCCACCATGAGAGTAAGGACAAGACAAGAACATATCGATGCCAACACAGAAGACAATGTCCAACATAACAGGCCAATTACACTGGATTAATCTTTGTGTTTAGATAGGAGATGCCTCGTATGGGCCAATAAGCCTTCTGCAGCCCCTATGTTTATCCCTTATGTATCCCCCCATGTTTTCACCTTCATTGTATTATCACCTGACCTAATGCGGGTATAAAATCAACTAGTATTGTAAGATCTGTTCACTTGAGAATGAACCATGGAGGTTCGAAACGTCGTGCAAATTATACAAATAAGTGTAATACACTCTATAGTAAATCACTTCTTTTCTTCACCTTAAAAGTACGAAAATGAGTTTTGGAGAACTCCTATTTCAATTAAGCCCTGATGCTAAGAAAATAGTTAGAGGGATAGAAGCCCTAAACCAGAAAATAATAAATACAGAATATGCGGTCATATTCAATGAAACATATATATATATATATATATATATATATATATATATATATATATATATATATATATATATGTCGTACCTAGTAGCCAGAATGCACTTCTCGGCCTACTATGCAAGGCCCGATTTGCCTAATAAGCTAAGTTTTCATGAATTAATTGTTTTTCGACTACCTAACCTACCTAACCTAACCTAACCTAACTTTTTCGGCTACCTAACCAAACCTAACCTATAAAGATAGGTTAGGTTAGGTTAGGTAGGGTTGGTTAGGTTCGGTCATATATCTACATTAATTTTAACTCCAATAAAAAAAAATTGAACTTATACATAAGGAAATGGGTACATTTATTATTTCATAAGAAAAAAATAGAGAAAATATATTAATTCGGGAAAACTTGGCTTATTAGGCAAATCGGGCCTTGCATAGTAGGCTGAGAAGTGCGTTCTGGCTACTAGGTACGACATATATATATATATATATATATATATATATATATATATATATATATATATATATATATATATATATATATATATATTTGTACAATTTGCACGACGTTTCGAACCTCCAAACGTGGAGGTTCCACGTTTGGAAATTATACAAATAAGTATATATATATATATATATATAATGTATTACAATTATATTCAGCTACGTGGCAAGAACGTACCTTTGCTTTAGGTAGATTGTGGCAGCTTTTACACACGTAAGCGTGGAAGGGGATCGCTCTCCTGAACCTTAACAGCCGAAGAAGATTAGTTTTAGTCTCAGGCGGCGGCACGTCCGCCTGCACCTCAAATATTGGAAGGACGTAGACCCGAGGTTTGTTACTGGTCGACACGTCTCCACGCATCAGCATCTTCAAGAATTCTGGAACCATATTTTAATGTTCTTGTTCTTTATACTAATTGTTCTATATTTTGAGATATGCGTAAATTTACCGTCTATCGCCGGAAATTAGAATGTCAATTAATTTAACGTATGTCGGGAAAACTGACAGCATTTTCTAACATTTGGTACAATATGCAGTTAATATTACTCCGGTTTTTGTACTAAGTTATTCATCCAAAGAAAACGAGATTGAAGTGTAATTTTCCTTGGAAGAAAACGACGATATCATTGCCATATGTCACCATTAAATTCACCAACTAATAATAATGTGAACCACTTAAAACATCAGTCTAGTATTAGAATCAATAAAAAAGTATTCTCAGTGACTGGGTCTAATATAATTACTAACAAACTAAAATCTACCTCCCATTGGCAATATAAGGACCGTACAGGACCCAGTGGGAGAGGCGTCTCTCTGAGCCAAGAAGTAGGCAGACGCAGTAAGTTTAAGGTAAACAAAAGTCTCGCTACGAACTCTGCAATTATCTCCCTCTAAACACAGTGTTATGGGATGTAAACAGCGCACGTTGTTGGAAATTTCCAACACTAACACACTACCATTGTATTATAATACATCATTATTATATACTAATTACAGTAGTTATTAATTTCACTAACGGTAGTGTTAATATAAATTAATATTTCTTTATCTGAGCATATTGCTAATATTCTCACGACATCGAGAGGCAGGATTGCGTCAGATAATGTCCATCTAAACATATTTATTACCAATATGTTAGAGAATTGAATGTGGTTCTCTAAAATTATCAGTATTCCGTACAATAATTAACTACAGATAATATAGCTCCCAATAATCCAAAACCGAGAGTTATTAACTGAAATTATTATCAAGTAGCAGTTTTATCTGTTACATGCGAATGCTATGGAGGAAATAAAATTTCCTCCATAGCACTCCATTTTCTTTCCTCCACTCCATTTCTCGATTAACACCGTTTAACGAGAATATGATATTATTTAATTCCCTATAATTGCAACCCGGTTCTCATTAACGCATTACATCAGTAATTACGCAGAAAAGAATTATCCGTGATTAGTAACTTCTGTTGTGAATGCGGGAGACGAGTTGAGGGAGGGCAGAGAGGCCGCCATTCTTCGCCATGCTGCTTGGCTAGAGACGCCAACAATCACATCGTGTGTCCCGAGAGAGTCGATTTCCATCAATACTACGTTAGGCCCTTGCATTTAATCGGCCTAGGAGCACGCAATTGCTCCAGTAGCAATCTAGGATGGCTTCGGTGGACAACCAGCAGGTTAAGTGCCTTAGTATTGTTTATATTGAGTACTCTTTATATTCTTGTACTGTGCACTGTCCATCGTTATGCTACACGACCTCCCCAAACAATAAGTACGTCCATAAGGAATTAAATTTATTCCTTTTATGGCATAGTGAGGATATTAGATAGTAGGAGTAACCACTTAGTATATTCAGTTGAAATTTCAGAATAAACTTTCCGTCCTTCACAAAATTGGGGGTTAATACCAGAAGTAATCTACTCCCAGTACGCTTCATCGAGGCTGGTTCTTCCTCGAATAAAAATTAGTAATTCTACTAAATACTATTGTTTTTACTACATACAATAGTAAATACTATTTACTATTGTAGTATTGAACAAATCCACAAGGGCCGTGACGAGGATTCGAACCTGTGTCCGGGAGCATCTCAGACACTGCCTTAATCAACTGAGCTACGACAGGGTTAAAGCCTGGTTTGTGCCTCGGAGAGGCTACGGGATCCAGTAAGTTCAGTAGAACTGCTGTTTCAATCCTTTTAACCCTGTCGTAGCTCAGTCGATTAAGGCAGTGTCTGGGATGCTCCCGGACGCAGGTTCGAATCCTCGTCACGGCCCTTGTGGATTTGTTCATTGATGCATCACGTTAGTGTGATCTCTGTGCGTGATTGTAGTATTGTTTATATTGAGTACTCTTTATATTCTTGTACTGTGCACTGTCCATCGTTATGCTACACGACCTCCCCAAACAATAAGTACGTCCATAAGGATTTAAATTTATTCCTTTTATGGCATAGTGAGGATATTAGATAGTAGGAGTAACCAATTAGTATATTCAGTTGAAATTTCAACTTGTGATGTAAGCGGTCGTGGTCCTCATGTTCCCACGCCATGCTGGAACTCACGTGTTGCCTCAAGTAGCAGACGACGCCATTGCACCTCTACCTCTCCGTTCACTATTACAGCTAAGCAGCTGAAACCTTTTCTATTATTTCTTTAATTGAGAAAAAACAAGATCAGTCGAAGAGATTTAGTTTATTTGATTTGAGATATCTAACGTAATATGTTAGCCTCATAAAAGTCATATGAGAATAATTGCTTGGTTAATCAACATATAATCTTTTTACCATTAATCAATTTATCTAATGTTTCTTAATAGTATTTAGTAGAATTACTAATTTTTATTCGATGAAGAACCAGCCTCGATGAAGCGTACTGGGAGTAGATTACTCCTGGTATTAACCCCCAATTTTGTGAAGGACGGAAAGTTTATTCTCGAACATTAATATATTATACAGCCCATAGAAGTTTAAGGAATAATCTTTAATAGTTTACTATCCATAGGCACTGGTATTTCGGTCCTTATCATTTAACTTTATCTGTTTCCCTTTTCAGTCAAAATAGGGTGGTCCTTCGATTAATTTAAATAATCTATTAATTAAATATCAATCAATTAATAGAGAGTAAGCTTTCTTCCCAACACACGTCATCAGCACCATCTTCGTCAACAATAAGGGAAGTACCTGATAACCCGTTAAATCTAACTATTTCTGGCCAGTAATATAGATTAGGTTCGCCGGTTAGAAAACAGGGCGATCCACCCAAAGTGGTAATTATCAATTAATCAAGTACAATATAAATTTCCCCTGATATAGTTGTCATATATTTGTTATGATCATTACTGTGCATTCCATTTAACAGGAGAAATTGAAGGGGAAGAAGAATTTTAGCATCCACTCCTTAATACAGCATGTGACATGTGATTATACTAACATCAGCTACAAGGAGTATTAGTTTGAGATCATCCGTGTTCATATCTGGTTGTCCATGCCATAACCAACTATACAGTTATCTGGTATTTGTTCCATTTTATTTACTAATCCATGTAGTATTAACATTGTAGTAAATGTCTACCAAACGATAATTTCGATTGATAGACTATGTATATAACTAATAATTAAAAAAAAACCCAGCTTGTGTAGGAAACGATTTTTGGGAATTTAGTATCATACAGTCCACTTTAAATTCATACTGTCTGCTATCGAAATAAATAAATTAACATAAGAAATAAATTAATATACATTATATATAAATTATGAATTAGAATTCATTAATATGAATTCATTGACTAATTGTAATTAAAATAAATAAATAAATCCAAGGAGTCAGTTTTGTCGGAAAATCCGACACCATTTAATAATCATACAGATAATAGCTGTATTACCAACAAGTTAACCCATAGAAAACGTAACTTGTAGTGGAATTACCGTCTAAAGAAAACGGGATATCATCACCACATACTATTATATTCTCCACCTATTATGGTGGGAATTATTCTTAAATACATTAGTCTTTGGACTTTACCATCAAAAAAACATCTTATATAAATTAACTTAATTATCAATATTAAAGTAGAGTAAATGTGCCCCTTCTATCACTTTCTGAAATCTGGACAATGTAAGCTTGGCGTCAGAGTGAGGGAGGAGGGCAGCCATTGTTGTGTCACATCCGAGACGCGTGGAGCAAATTCGGCTCCTATCATATATGGACAATGTCGGCCAGGCGTCAATAGTATGGAGTGTTAGACGCAGCCATTGTTGAGACTAGACCAGAGGCTCACACGGGAGCAAATTCGGCTCCTGTTAATTTACTTGGACGTGGTGTTATGGAAACCAAAGGTGTAACATTTTCAACACGATGTCTACAAATCGAGTTAAGTGTTCTTTCCGAAACCCATTATCTATCATTAGTGGCCATTAATGTCATTGGGTAGGGTGACCCGGTTAGAATGCGACATAGCCTCAAACTAAAGGTAATTAAGCCAGGTCTTCATGTTCCATGTATAGTGTTTTCTCTGATATAGCTTGTCATATATAGAATCTGGCTTTACAGCTAGCGCCCTTTTGACAGGTCAAGACGAGGAAGCAAGATTTTGTGCACCAGTTACTGGGTGATGGAAGCTACCTCAAAGAGGCACAATCGACTTGAGAATGGTCCAGGACGGACCGAAACGTCGTCGTCTCTTCAATTTCTAGTGTGTGGTCTGGTCATCAAAGAGGATAATTTGGTGTCTACACCCTAGTTATACCTGGTGGACTAACCTGCTGCACTATAAGATAAGGAACCTTTTCAATGTATGTAGTCTATTACAGTAGTTTGATTGGCTGCATATATATATAAATATAAACCCCCCCCTAATGTGTAGAGGATCGATTTGTGAGATTGAGATTATTGCAGAAATACAGTCCACTTATCATTATACAAATTGCTATCGAAGTATACAAATTAACGTAAATATATATTCATATAAATTAAATAAATATAAATCTCACAGGTCGGTTCCCACATTATTTGGTCATCTTCGAACCGGATGACGGATTATTCGGTCCTTTGAACCCACATTTGGTCATCTTAGTACCGGATGAACCAGTTAACCAGTGGATTCATTAAATATACTAGTGCAGTGTTATTTAAACAAAGCCAGCATTCAATGACGGCGGCGTTGACTCGTGCGAGTTCACGAGCCCCGCTCAGTTCAGATCAGCTTCGTCAGCGGTTTCATGTACACCCACAGATTTGGTGGCGTGTTATTCTGTGAAATGACAGCGCTAATATAGAAGCCAGCCAAATTAGTGGCTGTGTCCTCGCAAGATTGTTCACGGATTTTGTGGTGTTAAATTTTGCGAGAGATTATCCACGAATTTTGTGGAGTTTATTTCGCGAGGTCAC